TGTTAACAGACTAGGGCGGGCATGTGATCCCTTTACACTTCATGATGACTCCATAGAATTACCATCAAACTTCAACTTACAGGTAAGTCTCGTTTAATTTTCAATTCTATTTCGTCATCATTCAGTGTAGGGATCCCATGAGAAGTTTAGAGTCAGCATTTGATTTGATTTGATTTGATTTGATTTGATTTGATTTGATTTGATTTGATTTGATATTTTTATTTTGAACATTCGTAGGAACACCTGTAATTTGCTATCTCTTTCCACTTGATCTTCCGGATGGAAGCAATTTTTCTCAACATCCTATCAGGTTAGTCTTATGTCTAGATAATGTTCTTTTTATTTTCTGTGTTATTCCATTTACAAAAGTTAGAGTTGCAAAACCTATTTTCCTCAAAGGCATCTGTATCCATGATCGTTTCTTTTCCCTGGACAGTTAAATGACGGAAAATGAACTTAATTGAGTGTCCATTTTGCAGTAACTGATTTTTTTTCCCTTGTTCTTCGATTCCTTTGCGAAAAGAAACTCTTTTACACGTGACTATTAGTATGCAATTATGAATATAAAACCGACTTACAAGCATCTTTAGACCTATATTTCATATTTTAAGAAGTAAATGAAAAAGGGTTTGGCTACTTATAAAACAAGTTCATGCGGCCCTTTGAAAGCAAATCCTCGTCCTTTATACACTTACCACTTATCACAACTGAATTAACGTGAACAGTTACTCTCTGACTGTTGTCTTTAAATGAAAGTGAGAACGTCCGATTCCCTAAAATGATGTGAAATTGTTATTATGTCAACCAATCAACTAACAACATCAGGGGGCGGAGATGCTAACGGATGCATGTCTTGTATTAATTATGCGTTAATTTCATTTAAATTCACCGAAACACCAAAAGATCCAATGCTCTTTTCCAAGATTGTAGTACCTGTTAGTGTGCGTTGAAGCAAACTACCCGATATTGGTCTTGAAAGCGTTCCATCTTCTGCCATCCTTAATCCAACACTCAAATGCTCGTATCCTCTTTCTGTTACTGTATAGGCTTCTAGCCGATAAAATGCACATCGATGGAGAAATACAGGTGAAGACATTTGACTTGAATCTCTGAAGAATAATCGGTCATATCTCATTTTATATAGCCTGTGTACATCCGTTTCTCACCCCTCAAAAAATCGGGGAGAAAACGTCTGTGATTTGCCGTTGCTAATCGTGTTCTGACATAAATTTGCATATATAATGTGACATGCACGTTAGAGCTTGAGCAGGCACGTTAAAAGGTCAAGTAAACAATGGACCGTTCCGCAACATAATTCGAACATAATGCCTAGAGATTTTGTTTTTGTTTCAGCCATTCAATTCTAACTTCGACCGTGGTTTAAATTATTGTTTCTGCCCATTGGTCTATGCCGTGCTCTCTCTATCTTCGGTAGTAGGTGTCTCGTCAGAATGTGGTTTTCCTGTAATTTGCGTCATACAATGACTTCCATCAACCGTACTAATATCTTCTTGTGAAGATTACGTTGTCCTCGGCAGTTTTGAAGCTGTAACTCTGGCGCTTTCGCAGGCTATTATGAGATGTAGAATACAAACTACTAAGCCCCCTTATCTTCTTTAGCACTTCTGACAAATGCAAGTTTTGTTCGTGAAGATTGGCGGCGAATTCTAATGACATTATAATTCCACATCAATTTTAAATTTACCCTGACCGAATATAAGATTAAAGCCTAAACTTTTACAGAGAATTTGAGAGCAAATAACATATTCAATTTGAAGCATTCTACATGTTCCAGTGGTTTACCATGAAGGCTTATATTTCACTCGTGTGACCAACTTTACACGCCATCTATTGATTTTGGCCAATCACAAGTCTTGAAATACAACAGCCAATCAAATTCTTCCNTCTGCCCATTGGTCTATGCCGTGCTCTCTCTATCTTCGGTAGTAGGTGTCTCGTCAGAATGTGGTTTTCCTGTAATTTGCGTCATACAATGACTTCCATCAACCGTACTAATATCTTCTTGTGAAGATTACGTTGTCCTCGGCAGTTTTGAAGCTGTAACTCTGGCGCTTTCGCAGGCTATTATGAGATGTAGAATACAAACTACTAAGCCCCCTTATCTTCTTTAGCACTTCTGACAAATGCAAGTTTTGTTCGTGAAGATTGGCGGCGAATTCTAATGACATTATAATTCCACATCAATTTTAAATTTACCCTGACCGAATATAAGATTAAAGCCTAAACTTTTACAGAGAATTTGAGAGCAAATAACATATTCAATTTGAAGCATTCTACATTTTCCAGTGGTTTACCATGAAGGCTTATATTTCACTCGTGTGACCAACTTTACACGCCATCTATTGATTTTGGCCAATCACAAGTCTTGAAATACAATAGCCAATCAAATTCTTCCTCAAAATCTTGAGGAACTCTACRTGACCTCGGAACACGATTAGCAACGGCAAATCACAGACGTTCTCTCCCCGATTTTTTGAGGGGTGAGAAACGGATGTACACAGGCTACATTTTATAACTCATGAGCTATTACTCCAATAAGGTCTACTTGGTCTGGTGATTAGCCTTGTACAAGCATTGCTAATCTACTAAACTCATTAACTCAGTCACTGTGTTTGTCATTTTTCGTCATTTGTCTCGCTGTAATGTTAATTAGTGTTTTGGCGTTTGATAAGTTGTTTACAACACTCGCTCCGTGTTTAATGAACAGACTGTTTACAACATTTTGCAGCTCGAGATTGTAACGTTGTAATTCCCATACAACACAGCCGCTCATATTGTAAACTATACGTAAATCATGACTTTATATAAAAAGAAGCAGTCTATTCATTAAGCAAGCGGTTGACTAGACTTGTTTAGCATCAATGATATCGTAGTTCACGAAAGATCCAAAACATCATTTTAATAAATAATAAATAATAATAATTGGCGATAGCTAATCATCCTTTCTTGCAGCCAGAGTGCTGAATTACGAAGGACGCAGCTCACGTGATCGAGTCGGTTATGCGGTATACGAGAGCGCTATAATTATGAGGACACTCACTATTAGTTACAACACAAACACACACAAGTAGCCAACCAACCGAACCATATCTGATCACGGAGCACAGCTACATGCAGCTACTATCGAAATATTCTGTTTTTGATGAGGAAGGAAAAACCGGCGAGAACTCGGAGAAAAGCAAGGGAGAGAACTGGGACAAGCAGAATCGAACCCAGGACCACAGCAGTGACAGGTCGGCGCTCTCACCGCTCGACCACTCGCTTAATATAATAATCAATAATCAATAATATAATGAAATGATAATGTAACGCAGAGATTATTTCAATTTTTAATCTAATATCGCTCTTTCATTTTATCTACCATACCTATTCCAATTGTTTGGTCGAGCTGTTGTTGTTTTTGGTTTCAAGAGAACTTGTATTGTTTCCTCTCTGAATATAAAATCTGGAACCACATTGTACATCAGCTCACAAGCATCTTTGCATGCCATGTAAAAGATATATTTTCCACTTGTAGAAATCTACGAACAATTTTTTATAAATCGTAAGTATCAGATTCTATTGCAAAGTCAGAATTTACATGGATATACCTTCAGAAATGACGATAAACGTTGTCCATAAAAATCAGCGATGTTCATTGAGGCTTCAAAGTTTCTCATCACGCTTGAGACTGCTGGTTTGCTTTTACTGATCAAAGATTTTAAACCCGTTATGCTCAGTTTATGTATTTTATGAAACCAAATTTCTTGAAGAGCACCATGGTAATCGTCTGAAGAAAAAAAACATGTGTTGATATGGGGAAAGGAAACTACAACAATTTGTAAATATTTCTGTCGAGTAGCATGCATCCCTCGAAAACAAATCCGCAAAATTGATTAATTATCAATTTCCGCAATTATATATGATTGATAATTTTTCAACAGTAATGAAAGGTAGTTCTTATAATTACCGAGTTCGTAGACTTGCATTTCGCATATTTGCAACGTCGAATTCTTCTCCATTCTTGTCAGTATGACGTCAAGAGAGGTAAATACAATTGGGCAGTTAAAGTTTAAACGATTATCGATAGCAGAGCTGGAAACTGATGAGCAGGCTGTAGCTTTCTTGTTTTTATCTTCAATTGTGACGCGCAATTTTAACTTCTCGTCACAGCAGGACTTTCTCAATACAAG